TCAGTAATATAACTTAATAACTAAAATGTTTTTCTACTTTGATAAGTTACAGAAGAATGTTGTTATGAGCAGATGAAGTCCCAACCTCAAAGGCCAGTTAACCAGCTACAGGTATCTTTAATTTTAATGTTGGATTTCTGAATTAGGGTGATGTGGTCTGTCTCAGAGTTCCTGTGTTTATTCCATGACAAAAATCTTGACACTATCACAAAATTACCATGCATTATCTCATTTCATCAAGGTATTTCAGCACAGACTTGACTGTTCAATCTGAGTTATTAATGAGGAAGCAGGAAAATTATAGACAGCTCAAGTGCACACCTATGGAATGATAAAGCTCTGCCACAGGCATGCAGATCAGACTGAATTAAATCTACTGCCATGGCTTAGGTAAATAATTAATTTGATCTATTTGTGATATCAAAGTGGAAACACAAGCTGTATCACGTGATACTCATGAATTTGAGTGGCTCTCTCCTGTCCAGCACAAAATCTATGTGCCTTAACAAGTGAAAATGGAAAACAACTGTTTTCTATTGATTTGTATTTTGTTGAGATACCTAAGAGCATGCAAGCTTCAACTGAAATTTGCCTGTAGTTGAAGCATTCCCAGCATCAATTTCCTAAGTTCCATGTATTTCACTAGGATCAATTTCCAGCCTCTCTCTCAGGATATTTCCAGCAGGTAAAACTATCTTTTATAATCTAGACATTCATTTTTATTAACTTTATGACAACAGAATAATCTATGAAAATTCCAATGTCAATAGTCATTGACAGTTTGGTTTGAAAAACGGAGAAGCGGGGAAAGATACAAAAGGCATACATTTTGCACTGGAAACGAGATCATATATATGGATGAGAATCATCCACCTTTGGTACTCTGCAGAGACAAAGCATGTGAACAATATTGCTAACAACTGGATTCTAACTAAACAAAAGTGAGAAGAAACACAGATCAAATCATATCTTGCATCCCAAAGAACTTGGACTGATTTCATAACCTACCCTTCTTCCCAAAGAGAATCTTTCCAATGATACCTTGGAGAATTTTTCCTTATTGCCACTATGGGCCATTTACCATAGGTAAATGTTTCTAGGTCCCATATCTCAATTGTTTGTACTTTGAATGGCTTGTTCTACAGCTAGTTTGGGCGTCCTTCAGCCACTATTATGATTACAGTGTAGACATACTCACAGTCTCACGTATAATTTTAAAACAAGGGTAACTACCGAATGTTAAAAGTGAATTTCCCTTCAGGTGGAGTCTGCCAGTCAGATGTGTTATGCCTCGCTTGATCACAGCGTCAAGGGAAAACGCAGAAAACCAAGGAGAAAGAAAGATCCTTCATTAGAGGAAGATGAAAAAAGATCATCTAACCCTGCCACGAGGGCTTCTGAAGTGAGCATTTACCTCAACAGTGAGCAGCTGGCTGCTGAAAACACAGCAAAAGTAGAAGCCATTCATGACGATCCCATCAGATTAATGGGCTTGATTCATTCAGCAAAAGGAGAGAACATCTGAAGTGGCTTCCTGGAACCAACAACGTAATCATAGAGTGAGATCTGCTTTTTCATTCTGGAGCAACAGTGAAGGACTAGAGACAATATCCTGTCAAACTGTCATACCAAACAATGATTTAAAATGGGTAAGTGTTCCAAAGTGTCTTCCAAGCATATTTAAGGACTAAGCAAGAAAAAGATATAGGTCCAGACTGCCACTTTGAAGGATCTGCCTTCCTGAGGACAATTTGAAAGAATTGTGGAATCTGGTGTTTCAGCATTCCTGTGGTATTGATCCCAGTAAAAATTAATCCTGTGTTTTAAACAACCATCAGCTTTCAAACAGTCCCAAAAGACCCACTGATTGTCTGTAGAGCTGTAGCAGAGGACAACTCTTCTATATAGGTTTCTGTCAATGCTTTCAAAAGAAAATTTTTTTTTCATACTGGCACACTTGGTTATTTAGTTGTTTTACCAGTTAAAAACTCACCTGCTGTTCCACACCATGTACTTTCCTGCTGTGACTGGTTTATGGTAATAACACAATCTAACTAAAGATAACTGGAGAATAATTTAACAGATTGTTTAAAGTAGAAATTGTACATCTCACAAGATTTAACGGTATCTTTATATATCTTCGGTTTCCTTTAGCAATACCACAGCTAGTCCTGGAATCTCTACTCCTCTACTAAATGCAATATTGTATCCAACCTTTTTCAAGAGTCCACAAAGATATTATCAAATTACCTGTAACAATAAATCTCCTAGTAAGGATTTCTTCCTTCTAATACTCTATGTTATGTTTACATTCCTATTGGGTTTTTCATTGCAATTCTTGCTATTTTACAAAAGCAGAGAGAGCTTTTCATTTCCCCAAACAATTCACTTACTGTGTGCACATTCATCTTAAGACTTTAAACTCATTAAATGGTAAGTTTTATGGAGTGGGGATCTCTTTTTATATTCTAGGAGTCATTAAGTAGTTGTAGCAGAAAACATCAAGGCATGTTGATGTAATATGCCTACCTCTAGCTGTCAGACAAGTCTTCCTTTTCAAAGATAAAGGACACTAGTGCCTTAAAAATCCACACAGAGCACAGTGTCAAGGAGCTTCCAGCTCTCAAGCACACTACGGAACTCTGCAAGTGTTTCAGATCCTGAAAACAAACAAAAGGCCCAAAGTACAGAGAGCTAACACCTAAAAGCAGAAGTGGATGGACACATCCAGCCATGAGACAAATTTATGAAAAGAAAATCAGTATAAAGGAAAAAAAATCAATATAAAAGAAATAGTTCTCTAACAACCTGGTTAACATTTAGTTTTGTTCATAGTTAATGATCTTACACAACAAGCTGTAACTTCTATGCAAGACCAAAAGGAAGGGGCCAAGCCCTGCAGCCAAAGCTGCCCCAGTGTCACTGACTGTCTTGTGCTAGCACTTGCTTTTGTGTGCAGAAATCAACTCAGTATGCTTGGCCGTTACATCCCAGAAACAAGGCAGACTTGGAATGAAAGTAACTGTGTTATCACAGTCTTAGCCCACCCATCACTGGATAGGCAGAGACAAATATTGTTGAAGAATCTACAAAAACCAATTTAATGAAGAACCATGTTAAACAATGGCCCTAAGGCCCTACAGGGGTAAAGAAGGAAGACCAGATGCAAAGCCAGATATCTAAAGCTAAACATCAGTGCTTGAAGCACTCACTTAATTTGATTAGACTGGAAGGAGTTATATTTTGTTCCATAGTAGGAACTAAATAAGTAATAAATCTCAAAATACACTTGCTTAGACTCACATCGAAATAGTCTGAATAACAATAATATCAAAATATTCACATAAAGTGTTTTAATGCATCAGTGAGTTGCAACTTTTGATTATGCCTTTGTTCTAAATTCACAAGTTAAAGAACTTGCACGAGTTAACTAAATTCAACCTGCCATTTCAATCTGATCATCAGTTTAACAGAAATGAAGTACACACTTGTCTCATTGAGTGTAATTGTAGCAGTAAGTTCACCTCATGGGATTTAGGTAAATCTAGTTTCCTCTGTCTCAGACTTCATTGTTTAGTCCAGCAATTTTCATCAGCTGCTTTCCCTTGCAATGTACCTTGTTAACAGAGCAGGGCATTCTTGTAAATATTCTCCAATATATCCTTCCTCTCCACATTTAATCACTGCTTCCATTAAATGACTGACTGTTGTGTGCAGACACTCTCCTTCAGGATCATCTTTAGTGGCTTATCAACTCTTTCCAAGGCACTTTTAATGTTGCCACGTTCAGATTTAGCTTTATTTCTCCAGCTCTTTAACCTGCATCTGCTTAAGTAAGCAACTGAATGACCTAATTTTTTTAAATGACTTTTGGGATACTTTTTCAAATGACTACTGAATTCTTAAATGAAAGAGCATGTTCAATATATTGCTCCATCTTCAATCCATTAGAGAAAGACCTGCATAAACTATCAGATACTAGTAAAATTCTTTATGTATAAAGCAAGTTTCAACTAATTACAACAAAATAAGAAAAGGAGGTGCTAGGTCTAGGTTTATACCCTATATATGTTATATAAACAAGCTTACCTTCTTACCTGGGTGAGCCTTCATTAAAGTTGCTGGGTAGAATTCGTATCTAGAGTCAGATCATGTCCAAAACCCAATTCCAGTTAACCTCTAAGTTACTTTAGAACATTAATACATTATACAATCTCTCAGTGCTGGTGTATCAAGAAATACTGGGAAAGAATTGCCTCGACTATTACAAGGAGAAGGTAGGGTATAAAGCATATTTCCTACAGCACATCCATGTCTGAACAGGAAGAAAAATGAGCCCCAAAAGCATTTCTAAAAGAAAATATTTTGTTGCTGTTGTTGAAGGAAACATAACATACAAATTATGAGGGAATGTAGAATATGTATGCACAGTGCAGAAGTTCTTTCTGTTCTTTCTGCAGAGAAAACCTCACTGAAGCTAGCTTCTTGTCCTATTCAAGAACAGTATTTAAGATAACAGGATTTTGATTTTAAGAGCTAAGATAACACAAAACACTACTGTGTGCCCAAAAATAAAGCCAAAGAAAACCCATTTTTTCCTTTTCTGGAGCTCAGAAAGCTGACAAGGGGCAATGCTGATAAAAGAGAATACTTGACCTGACACCACTAGCACAATCCCCTTGCCTAGAAAGGCCACAGCAATGAAAACCAGTGGGACCCCAACACATCATTCTCAGGTATTTGCTGTATACAAACTCCTTCTCAGAATTCCCATATCTGAAACAAAAGTGTTGAAAGCAGCTATTTGTTCAGAATAATTTTTTATTTAGAATATAAATTGTGTCAGAACACGGAACATAACTTTATCAAATCCAGTAAAATTTATAAAATTTAATTGAACAATCAGCTTTAGTGAGCTTCTTATAGAATTTTAACATTAATATGGCAGAACAGACAAAAATAGTAGCATATAACACTGAATTTGGGTGTATACTGATACACAGAGAAAGCATGAATAGGCAGGAATTTAGGTGAATGAGTGTGTTCCTTATTATTAACTCATTAAGAATCAAATCTAATTAGCAGATAAAAGATAATATAGATAACATTCCGTTATTATAAGCACTTAAATACACAATTCCAACTTAGCCATAAATTGAGAAAGAAATCCCTGTCAAAAGGGACAAACCCGTTCCTTGAAGAATTATAGTGCAAGGAAGTATAGATAAGAATTAGTTGTGTATTACAAACATCCTTGATTCTTGGAAGAAGAAAGAAAGCCAGGTAAAGCACAACATTTATAAAACTATGTTGTATCTTTAGCAGTCTACGAATGCTCCTTGATGAGTTTTGCCCTGGAAGTCAAAGGGAGTGCTAGGATTTTGGTCTTTTCCATCAGTGTAGCTTAGTTTTCTGTATACCCTATGGAAAAAAACCCAACAATAACCTGTTTAGATGATAGAGTAAATTACACAAAAATACTATGTTTTGCTGAAATTCCAGTGAACAGAATGAAATCGAAACAAATTGCCAAAGCAAAATAGCTGAACATCTGAACTGTGAACAGCAGCAGGACTCCTTGTCTGAAATCCTATGTGCTTTCAGAGAGAAAGCTCTTCATGCTATGCCATTTTAAAGTCTCAGTAGTGCTTCTACATCAACCTAAGTTATATATACATTTATTAAGTTTCAAGATGCAATCTTTGAATGCATTCAAAGATAGCTAAAAATTAAAAACACAAGTGAGAAGACAATTATTTCCTTGCATATTACTTAAGAAATTGCATAAATTTTATCTGTCATCTATTTTAAACTAATTTTGTTTACAACTGACAATTAAGTATAGCAGTGCAGCTGTAGGACAGCCTTCATACAGAGCTGAAGAAAAGTTCATTAGTTACGAACATTTCTTTATCAGAAATATCTATTTCATAATCACCTAGATAAAGGCAATCTAGTTCCAGACAGAATGACAATATTTTTTCATTTCAGAACCATTTATTACAACATACAGTATTTCGCCACATCTCTTTGGCATAAAACTTCTGAGGGATCTGAAGCCATTAAAGAAGAGCTTCAATGCTGGGAAACACAGAAAGCTAAAAATATCACACCACAAGCTAAGGAAACTTGCCAGCTGACAGTCCGTGTTGGCTACAAATCAGCAAACATGTATTTGCGTAATTAAGGAACAAAGAAATAGATTTTATTCCAGATGGCTTGGCAAGAAAACACTCTGTGGAATCTTGATTTCTCTACTTACATGCATTAAGGAAAGAAAAACCATTTCCTTTAGAACAATAATTAATCTTATAGGAATGGCTGTTTTGTATGGAGGCTGGAAAAAGTAGTGAGGAAAACCAAAAGGAAACCCAAGAACTGAGCAGAACTTTATTCAGCTAAGTGGACATACTCAACATCACAGAAACATTGGTGTATACTCATCAGCTTGTCTCCCATCTTCCATTATATCAAAAATAACCCAAATATAACCTTTATCAATACGGTACGCATTTTTAATACAGGCCTCTAAGTTTTAATTCCATCTTGGCATAAACTGAAACTTTTTTCTTTAAATCATGAAGCCTCTTTTCTGGTTAAGTTCTCCATAAAAGTAGTTGTAAGAAAAACAGATGTAGTAGGCTAGTATTTTGTGAATTGTTCTCCTTTCAGAGATCTAAACACATTACCAGTAGTGATACCAGCAGGAGGAGAGGATCTCTGATATCTTCCAAGCAGAGCTATTGCTTGTATACTGAGCCAAAATGCAGGTAATGATGCTCAACTGCACAGAGGTTAACTTTTGAAAGTCCTTTTAAATGGCAATATACTGCACTCTCCACAGTCTACAGATCTGAGAGGACTTGTTAGCTCAAACACACAGCCACAATCAAAACAATTCTTTAGTGTATCTAAAATAATAAATGTCTCCACACTGAACACAAAATAAGGACTACAGTAGCTACTAAGTTAGGCCACTTGTGTTTGCTGGCTATCCACGCTGCAGTCTGGCTGGTTTGGCCCACAGTCATCTGCCCTTTAATGTCCAAGTCTGCAGCTTAGATTGGGCTCTCTCATACTGATTTTCATTCTAGAAGCACGCATGAAAGCTCCATACCTTTTCTACAGAAGACAAGCAGCAAGAATTAATTTTGAAATCTCTTTTTTTTTTTTCCAAGAAGCTCTTACCTTTGGTGAAACATCTGCACGTTTCTGGGAGAGCTGCAAACCGTCACTGTCCTGGGCCAACCAGAGTGGGCATAGTCAATCCCAGCTTCTGGTGATGAAGAACAGTGGTGTGAAAAGGGCAAGAACAATCCTGAGCAGCGTGAACACTACAGTATGTTGTTAAAATATTAGTCTAATCAAACACTAGAAATACTTCATTGGCATACTTCAATAAGCAAATTTCCCTATAAAAATAGTCCCGTGCAAAAGGTCCTGGCAAAACAATTTCAAATACATTTTAAAAGACTGAATATATTTAAGTGTAAGTTAGGTTTCTTCAAAATGCTTATAATTTGTCATCAATACAAAAATATATAAGGAACTCTTGATATAAAAATATTAATACATCAGATACGAGTTAAAAGTTAAGGAAAGCAAAATAAGACATATGGGATAAGTTAACCTCAAATAATCAAATTCTTTACAATTTATCAGTAATGAAAATTCAACCAAGCAAGAACCATGCAAACAATTATATTTCATCTGCCATTTTCTACTTGTGCGCCAGCTGACAATATTTCAAGTCACCTCCTGTATATTCCTTTACATATTAGTTGTTATCTTGATGACAAGGTTAATAAAAAACAAGCATGTAAAATAAATATTGGTGATTTTACTTGGCAGTACAAAATTTAAGACTGTGTTACATACTTACATTAACCAAAATCAGTTTTTGAAACAAAAACCAAAATATTAGCATTTAAAATTTTACACCGATGCAGATTTTCTGGTTTTGTTTTAATAATAAAATTCTACTGTCCTGAACTGGCAAAAGTCTATATCCAGATTAATAATCTAATTGATCTAAGAAAGCATGACAGTAGCCATGCAACAACTCAATCCCAAGTTTTTGTAAATCTGAAGAAACAAAACAAAAGCATTTGGTTATTCAAGTGTAGGATTAACAAACTACTACTTTCCTGCAGAACATAGATACAGAACATAACAGTGAACTTTAAATAAAATACAAAACAGCAAGAGAGAAAACGAGTGGATAGTAAGAAACTTTAGTAGGAAAAGTCCCATTTAATGTAAAGCTTCTTAAAGAACATGTGATTCAGAAAACCCTTCTGTGTATAGATTCCTTAATGAAAGAAAGAAGCATATCCAATTACTACTACGGAAGGAGAGCTGTCACCTAGAGAGTTGTCTATTGAGCTCTGTAGATTTACCATTTGAGGAAGTGCTTAGACACAAAGTGTCTAAAACTAACCTTGCAGGGAAGTACCAGGAATATCAAGAGAAGTTTTATCTGAAGAATCACGAAATCCTGAGTGCTGAAAATAAAGCATCAACAGATAACATTGATGAAAAAACGCATATTATCTCACAGCTTGCCTCAGAAGAAATTACTGTGAACTTGGAAATAAGGGTCTGATTTAATATTTGAATCAACAAGTCTAATGATTCCAGCAAAACCCAGTAAAGCCTAATTTGTTTGCCTCATCTTGTCCATCCATAAAATTAATAAAATGTCATCATTTCAGAAGGACAACACCTCAATCAACAGGGTTGTTAATTGAGCTTATTTTAACCAGTGACATTGTCTATTCTAATGTAACAAAATCTTTCACTGAGCCTTTTATAATAATTTTCAAGGTTATTAAGTATAATGAGCTTCCTCTCACAATCCAGGAGACCTGATACAACTGATATTTCAGTGAATAAATATCCCTGCTGACCAAACAGCACCAGAAGCATGCTATCAGTAGTTCAAACAGCTTGCAGCTCTAATCCATTTTTAAGCCCTTCTCCAAATATCTAGGAGTGCACAATCATTTTTTTTTGTTGTTGTTACAAGGTCCTTAAGTACCTGACTCTGACAGTTGTGATCTTCAAAAGAGCCGGGGTTGCTGCCATTGTATGTGCTCAAAAAATCCATGCCAACTGTCTGAAGATTAAGCTTTTTTCTGTGAGAAGTCTCTTGACATTTTGTTGAAAAGAAATAACGTTCTGGTATGTGTTTCAGTCGCTTTACTGGTGAACAAGGAAGATCGTTTTGAAAATTTCCTAATCTTTTAACTCTGGGAATTGCAGATAAAGTGCGAACAGGTGAGTTAACAAGAGCATTTACAGTTTCAGACATCTTTATTCCTTCATATTTCCTTAAATTTGAAGCTCTCTGAAACCCAGGAAGTTTTGGAAGAGGCTCACTACACAGCTGCTCATAGATCCTGTCAAATTCTCTATCGTACTGTGTTCTGGGCCTCACAAAATCACTTAGATTACTTTTCACTAATCTTCCTTTCTCTTCAAGGTTCTGTGAATTTGAAAGAGGTCGTCTCAATACCAAAGACTTTTGGATTTCTTCAGAACACACTTTGTAGTAGAGTTTTTCAAATGCATCTTCGTATTTCTGGGGCATCTTTGAAGGACTCTGCTTCATAAACGATGAGGAATATGAATGTTTGCGCTGGAAAGAAAATTGTCCTTCAGAAATTATTTTTTCAGGATTTATAAGCAAAGTATTAGATGCTCTCTCAGAAGAATAGCTTGTGACAGGTGAAGAAGTGTTATTATTGCCATAGGAACTGCAAGCAGACGAACACAAGTCCAAGGTAGCACAAGAAAAGTCAGTTTTCTGAGTCTTACTCTCTTTTACAAGATGAAGTACTGTTGAGTCTGAACCAGCAATAGGTGTTACAAAACTGTATTCTGAAGAAGATCTGTAAGCCAAGTTTTCACTTTCTTTGCATTCTGAACTCTTCAGTGAGGCTGTGGTCTGCAACTCATCTTCAGCTAGAAATGTCTCTCCCATTTTAGCCATAACAGTAGGAAAAACAGTCTGTGTGGAGACTTTTTGGCCTTTTCCAGATATCACGTGATGTTCTACACTTGAGTCAGAGTAGTCCATTTTGAATTCATTTGCATCAGTATAAGGTACCAGAGCAGATGAATTATTAATAAGACAATTGTCATAACAAAATTCTCTGCTCTCATTTCCGAAGGTTGGATTCTGATTGTCTTCACTTCTACTGCTGCATATGCTGTGTAGTCCTTTCTTTAGTTTAAAAGGTCTGAACCCTCTTATTTTGTCTGCAGTGACATTGATCTTTGGTCTTTTAGAATGACATCTTTTGGACCTTAAGCACCCAAATATGTATTTTAATACTTTTCTCTGAGAGTGCTTTGTCATGAGCTTTGTGAATGTCTCCAACAACACTGGATACAAGTCTGCAAGAGTTTTATTGCTCAAGGACCACCCCCCGCAGGCAGACTGGCATTCTTCAAACATACTGTCACAGCAAGTTGTATTCAGTTCTGTAGAAAGCTGGAGCGTGGATGTTGTGTTGCTATTTGATGGAACAGGAAAACCAGGGTACTGCAACTGTGGAAATCTGGATGAAGAACATTCCTCTGACAACTCCAGTGTCCTCCTGCAAACAGCAGCTTGATTGCCTATTTAAAAAACAAAGCCAAATGATTAAAGAAATGAAACCAGAAGAAGGAAAAAGTTCCACACCTATTAGGGCACATCCAGTGATGTATTGTATGACAGAAACAATGGCAGATGCTACAGATAGTCTTACTGTAATAGCATATTTCATTAAGCTTTACTTCAAGGCTAAATGGATAATCAACATACAATCCCTTAGGAAAAAAATTAATACTTTCCTAACCATATGCAATTCACAAACTGTAGAGGACAGAAATTTAATGTGTTGGAAAAGGAACCCAGTATTTTAAAGTAGCATAATGTACAGATATAAAAAAAATTTTAGTTGTAGAGGAAGACTTCTCTATGCCCTTTGTGATTTCTGACCAGGAGAAACAGCCTAATCCAACAGGTTTTGTTCGTCTGTTTCCATGTTACTTGAAAGCTTTGTACTTGGCTAGTACCATTGCAGCTTTACTAGCCGTAAACCATGATGAAAGTAATGCTTTTTGTAGTTGTTAGTTGAAATATTTACATTGAAACTCTACCTTAGGTTTGCATCAAGCCTGGAAAGCTTCTGCAGCAAGTTTACTAGCTAAGTACCACTTTAAGTACGAGTTACCAGCACACCCAAAGCCATTCTATTACATTCCTTGAATTTAAAATAAGGAGAACTAAAAAATCATGCTTTCATTTCAAAGGTCTAAATATTGCTGAATATTTTAACTACATATTTTTTTTCCTGGGGCTATTTAAGAAAAACTGGATTTATGTATACAAATTGTTTATTTTCTATTTTTCAAATACATTTTGCCCCAAGTAAAATCATGTCTAACTTCCCTTCAAAATCCAACCTATTGAATTTTCCGTTGGATAAATAATGCTTCTTTGTTTACAAGAAATAAAATATTTTTTTCTAATAAATTTTAATAAGACCACATTTTGTAACTAATATATTTGACCAAGAGACAAAAGATTTAGTTGTACCAATCAGTTCTTGCACAGGCGAAGTTAAATGAAAACTTTTCGGCAAACATTGAGGTGTTACCTGAAAAACAAACAAAGGAAAAGACACAATCTCATATTCTGAATTGTTTGCATGTTCAAGGCAACATCAAAACCCTACTTGTGACTCCCTCTCATCTCTCCTTGCTATAATAGGTCCTGTACAGTTATGGTCCTAAGGGGCTTAGCTAAATTCAGAAAAAGGGGAAAATATCTAGTCTGAGACTTCAGTAAGAATTGTTAAGAATTACAAGTTTAACCTTGGAAAGCTATTTTTTGCAACTTATACATTATGCATAATATATTAACCCCTTTCCTAAATATGAAAATTCATACACGGACACATATATATATGTATATATATACACACCTGGATCATCTATACATCTCTGGCAACTCCAGTAGAAAATAGAAGCTGTACCATGTAATATAACACTTCACCTCCAGTCCCCCTCATCCCCAAAACCAAAACAAAGCTAAAACTTTTTTTCTTTACAAAGTTCAAATTTGGACTTCTCAAAAAACTTACTGATCAAAAATTGACCTGCATATCAGGGTTCAAAACCAAAGTATAAAAGTAAAAAAAATAAAAATGTATTTGTAAATTGTTTGTTCTGTTTCTTATGAATCATTCCTGTCAGAAAACTGAGATACTATAATATTTACACAGACAGCAAGCAGGAGAGCAACAGTGATGAAACTGCGGAGAAGTTCTGTTAGAATTCATTGTGCTACCCAGTTAGAGTTCTTATTTTATTCTAATTAGCTAATAATTTAGAATAGGAGATTCTATTAAATGTTACCTCAATCCATCTGGGAATTTTTCTAGCATCATCTTGAACTATCACATCCACTGGAACTTTGACTTTCTCTTGAATTCTTTCATCGTCTACATTCGGAACCTTAAGAGAAAAGCAAAAAAAAAATTAAAACACATAAAAATTATAGGCACTGACAAACCCAAATGTATTACACAGATTTGTTGCAAGCTGCTATTTATCTAATAATTGATGTCTTTGAATTTTTGGCTTTTTGTAGATATTAGTGTAGCTGAGTAGTCTCTCACACTTTAGCATAGTAGTTAACACTTCCCAAACCCTATTCCCCCATTTCATATCGAGTTTTCTAAATTCTTTATGCTTGTATAGGCTCGTTTCAAGTCAGGACTATAGTAAACACAGTCCCTTTAAGAACATTTGCACCCCAGGCCTGAACAACAAGATACCATCAATAACCAAAGCAACCTTCAAGCTTCTTGGAGAAGCTCCAAAGACAGTCCTTGCTGTGATGAAAATGAAGATGAGGAAGAAAAGGGGTTTTAGGACCTCCAACTCAATTTCCAGATCTGGGGGCAGTTGGTTCTCGGATCGGACTATAAATTGTGGAACCCCTGGACATGGGGGCACACATTTTCTGTACTGCTTGCACCAGAAGACCTTCATCAAAGACCCGCTCTCTTATCTTATCTCTACTAAATTAGCCTAATGAGTTGTTTTGCTCCCGATTTTAAGGACACGTGACTTAGAATAGGAGAAATATGTTACCTCAATCCATTTGGGAATTTTTCTAGCATCGTCTTGTACTATCACATCCACTGGAACTTTGACTTTGTCTTGAATTTTTCCATCGTCTACATTCAGATTCTTAGAGGAAAATTAAAAAAAAAAAAATTAAGACACATAGAAATTATAGGCACTGACAAACCCAAATGCATTACACAGATTTGCTGCAAACTACTGTTATTCAGATGAGGATATCCAACAAGCATAAACTTATTTTTAATTTATAACTTTAAAGTAAAAAAAAAAAAAAAAAAAAAAAAAATCCCAAGAAGGAAAAGCACACATTGACTCTGAAGATCTGCAGATAGAAGCAAACAAAACACTCATATAAAACAAAAAAAAAGAGGGAAAGAAATTAGAAAACATTGGTAATGATGGCTACAAGTCTTTACATGTATTCTTAACTCCCCATGAGAATTCACATACAAATTAGGGTCTATGTAAAATCTAAGAGTATTTCATGAGAAACAGCAACTCCTTAATGAAATTCCTGCCTTCTGCAGCAGTTTGTATTAGCTGTTATCAGAGACGTGACACTAGCACTATGCTAAACAAGTAAGGAAAGTAAATCCATTTTTAGTAATGGTATTTGAGCAAGCAGAACACAGGATTAGAATGGCTGCACACACAAAGCCTGTGTTATACTTTTCTTCATCAGTATAAATACTCTGGGTAGTCTTGATACCCACAGACTAGTTTGGGAAGCAACAGCAGAAGATTCCTGTCTGCTTTTGTTGTATCACCCATTATTTCAGATTTACTTGTTGTTTTAAATCATGTTACCTACTTTTGTTAGACTCTCAGGTGAATGATCATAGTTTTTTATAAGTGTTTCCACTTTACGCTTCAGCCAGTCACTGTTCTTCCTTACCTATAACAGCCCTTCTCAGGGCTGTCTGTTACAATACAATGTGTCGTTTTTGCTGGCATACTAATATTATCAAGACAATAATATTACTTCATACTGTCTTTATGACATTATTTATATTGAACCTCTCATTTGCTATAGTTATTAAAAACATGTATCAAGATGCAGACTACATAGAGTCTTCTGCTGACTACAACTCATCAGGCATGTGTAAGCTATTCAAATAATTAATAATTTCTACTGAACACAAAATTGCTCCATTACATTAGACACCAGAAACTTTTACCTGGAGGTGAACATCTTCAAATTTTCTTCTTACTGAAACCATTTCGACATCACTTGTTTCATCTAGAGTTTGAAGATAAATATTAAATATAGTTGCACTCAAAACCAAAAAAGAAAGTTTTAAACACAGACAGGTTATTGACTACACTAGTTTCATTTTAGAAAATGATTTTCTACACTAAAACTTTTTAGCTCTATTACATTTCCATTTCAAGTCCAATCGAAAAGCATAGTTTATGGGTTCATAAATGTCTCGAGGGGAACAAAGAAGAGTGAAGATAAATTGTTTCTTACCACTTCTTCAAGATTTATGTTAATTATTTCTGAGAGTAAAAATTTTCAAAGCTCTTTATTTTCTTGGTCTTCAAGATTCACTATTCATTAATGTATAATTCCCATTACGTTCCTAAATATCCCAACAAAGATAGCAAGGACCTTCTACCACATTTCATTTTATTAGTTACTTTTCATCAAGCCTGCCTTAGAACTGACAAAAGGAGAAATAAGACCTAAGAACATGAAAAAGCAAGTCACAATATTTAAGTTCAATTTTTAGGTAGTCTATGTGTATTTTTGTGAATGAAATGCAGCAAAATTTTTTTTGTTAGATATAGCCAGACTTTCCAATTCATCATTAGCTAAAGTCACAGTCTTCCATGATCATAAAACACGTGACTGTGTTGTAAGCCTTGATTTCTGAATCTCCCTGGGTTCACTACAGAGAGGGGAAAAAGGAGAGGAGAATAACCCTGAAAAGGAAAACCATGAGTGAAAAAAATCTTGCTTATGATACCTATCACTGCCTTGTCACACTATCCTTAAACTGCTAAAACCAGAATGAAAATCTTTTCCAGCTCATCCCACCTTCCCTTTCAGTTTCCTGTCAGTGCAATCACCACCTCTGTACTATAAAGCTATGATAAAGATATATATGAAAGAAATGCTGCCTTTGTGGGAGACAACACTATTTCACATCTTCTGCTGAAGATGTTGAGCAGAGGGTTGGCTTTGACAGTGTACCTGACCCCAGAAGAATTACTAGAACTGAAACCCATACCTGTCAGATTATCAGTTTCTTCCCACATGACCAATGGAAGTCAAAGTTGTGGTCATTTTATTCATGGGAAATCAGTTACTAAGCGCCAGTAGTGGAGGAAGCAATAAGAATGGTAATGTTTTAATCGGGGGAGGTTTCAACCTCCAATTTCTGTTGTAAAAGCTCTGACTCTTCCTGCCATTCAGTCTTCTTCCTCCAGTAGAACTGGGTACAAAACTGTCAGATTGCTTCCTAAATGTCCACCAAGAGAACCAGACTAGACCACTACAAAAATGGGAGGTTCTGGAGATAAGGGAACAGCCACTGTGCCAAGGAATGGTTAACTCCATCACCAATGACAAATTATTAGAACAGAAGCCTGTATTAGAGTGAATTGATCAGTATGCAAGTTGAATATTCTAAGTGTGAATCCTCACAAAAGGGTAATTTTAGGATGTCTTCAATGTGCTGTCAATCATACTTCAAATCACTGGAACATCATTTATTTGCAGAGGGCCATGGCACAGCACAGAATGGAAAAAACCTCCAAAATATCTTCTCCAGGGAATCTGGAAGTGTTTTTAAAAGGCCAAAGGGGAAATATGGGAACACCTTTGCACTTCGAATGCAGAGCAGAGAGGAAAAGTGAAAACTACTTTTCTCTCTCTCAAATTTGACATCTTTAGAGATGCCCTCAAACACTATTGTTAGCTAAAAGTTGTAACTTGTTTACCCTTTTCTCCAAGTAAATTCATTTTTCTGTGATAATATCCTAATAGATACAAGATAGTGTTCAGAGATAAAAATCACTATACTCTGCCATGCTGCTTCCTGTGAAAGCAAAGAACGTAGCCCTAATTTTCCCTATTAAGGACAGAGTAATACTTGCAGGTACAGGTGAGAGTTGCTTCATTACATTTTTACCTGTTGTTAATAGGCTTTCAAAAAAAACCCCACAACTGTATAATAGTTGGGAAAAAAGTATGCCTTCACTGAAAAGTGTGAAGTATTCTGTATGAATATTAAAAATGGAAAAAAACTTGCCCAAAACTAAAATTTTAGCTAGAACAGCTAAAGATATGCTTTTTTCCTTAAGTTAGCATGCCCTATTGCTAACCTTTTACATATTAAAAAACCCACAACCATCAAACAAGAAACACCAAAAAAACCACCAAAACCGCCCAAAAAAATCCCAAAACACCAGGGTGAATTCCGTTTCTATGTGAGGAATCCAATCCCATATCTCTAGAGAATCTAATTTCTACATCTTACTGTATTTGGAGATAGCTGGGACTCACCGAGGTTTCTAAAAATCCTCTCCAGTCTCTTCCTAGAACATTCACAAGAGAAGGAGGAGGAGTGGATAATAATATTATTGAACACTGCTATGAAGATACCAGAGTCTGAGCCACGTCACTCATTTATCCCACGAGTGCAAAGGACAAAGTTCACTTAGAGAAGCCAAGCTACAGATGCCTCTGAAATTTCTTCCCTATATTTCACGGAGCAAGTTGAGAAAATACAAAGTCACATTTTCTAAATTTGCAGAAATTATTTTATCATTCAAATAGATATTTGAAATTATCCTCTCAAATGATAGGAGGAAACATTTCAGATTGCTATTTTCTATTTATCCTCAATAGAGAAGTAATTGTCTGCCTTGGAGACAGCTATATATTTTTATGAAGTACCGAAAACACCAGCAATTGCTCTTTCAGCCATTAACTGCTAGCTACCACCTGGCCATAGTTTAATTTATGAAAAATAGTAAGTGCTTATATGCACAAGAATCAAAAGATGTTGAGTAATACAAGTTTTAAATATTTAAAAAAGAGTCAAAGTCTGTTGCCACTAGTTAATACAATCAATTACTTGGGAATACAAGGTCAAAACCACCCAAAACTTGGCAGACAAGCCACAAGACTGATGCTGAAACCATAACAAACACTAATGAAGAATTGCTGCAACTGAATGCAAACCTGTGTTTATCCCATCACTAGTATTTAAGTATAATTGTAATTATTAATAAAACTTCTGTTGCCACCAAGGTCAAGATTTCTGTTTCGTTGTTCCTTTTTCAAGAAAAGGCAGTTGAACATATTCCACATTGACTTTCCAACATATCAGGGATTCAAAACTGAAATTTTAGAGGAATCTGTATATTGATTTCACAGTACTACCAGTACCTCAGGCTCTTGCTATTCCTATTCTCTACTTTCTGACAGGGTACAGAACATGTATTAAAATTATTTTTACTACATTAGAAAGTGATGAAAAAGTTATTTGCAATATTTTTCAAAAAAAGTTAAGAAAAAGATAGCTAAATAGTAAATTAAAAAACTCACCTATATCAGTTGTATCCATTTGAGTGTTCTCAGAAGATTCCTTAAAAGCACAACGAAAGGAATTTTAATACCTGGTAGCATAAGCCATATTAACTAATCTCTAGAATTTTCTGCTCTCACTACTTGCTCAGTGGTTTTTGGAGGGGGGTGGTAGTGAAACAAATACAGTCATATTCCACAAATATTGTCCAAATGACACCATCTTTATCAACAAATCTGTACACAAATTTACCTTGACTCCTATCTCAGTAGTCAGTGGGGAAGACTGTTTTCTTCCCAGCTCTTCTTTATTAAGATAAATAATGCAAGAAGTAGCTATTACCCGACAAGCACAAAAAACAATTGAGAGATGAATTCTAATCACCAAATTAGCATGTACTGGGGATTTTCTCTGTGCTCCAGTGGATAAGGAAAGTTTCTTTACTGCTTACTTTAAACTATGCTTAACTGACTACTTCAAACCATCTATACATAATATTTCAAATAATTTTCTTGCTCTATTTTGTAGAAGTCTTGATAGTGGTATAAAATAAAATGCATAAATACTTGCCATCTACATCTGACATCATGTTCCTCAGAATTTCTTTTAAAAAAGTCTAAATCTATTCTGTCCAGTGCAATCATAAAATTCATTTATAATGGGTTAAAATGGCACCAATAAAATGAGACAATTTTAACTACTACCTATAGAGAACAAATAATCATGAGTGCCCAGTGAGATGGCCCATATCACTCTTCAAATGCTGAATATATTCTCCTTAAAAAATAAGGAGTCAAAAGAGGCTGTTCTAGACCACACATATTTTACAAATAATAATTTAAAAAGTTTGACCCACATAATGCCTAACTAAAAACACACTTGATGGTTAAAAGCCTATATCCAACTGCCCTCTCCCTCTTTAAATAAATGGAAGGGTAGAATTCAGCTAAAAGGCATGGTTGGTATCATTGTACAAGACCCCCTGCTCATGATTAATTTCTTAGGTTTTGACTACATGAATACATTTTCCCAAAGAGGTTGTCATAGAATCATGGAATGGTTTGGGTTGGAAGGGACCTTAAAGATCATCTCGTTCCAACCCCTCTGTGATGGTCTGGGAAACCTTCCAACAGACCAGGCTGCTCAAAGCCTCATTCAACCTGGCCTGGGAGCACTTCATAAAAGCAGATGTGTAATGTGGTGCCCATACCTGATGTACTGATGAATGTCCACCTTCAAAATCACTGATCCATCGCTTTGATGTTTCTTAGCATGAAGGAGAAGAAAAAAAATAGTTCTATCACAACTCGGTAGGTACTCAGTGACCTGAACTCATTACTTCTTCATTTGTATATACTTTATTTTTAAAAACATTTAGCACAAACATTCAACAGAGAACATGCATAGGAGTGAAACAAAGAATAGACAAGTGTTAGAGCAAGTTTTTGGCCAAATACAGGAGACTAATCCTGATCAGGTGTACATCTACCATACTACACGCTTTCTTCTCAAACTCTGAAGCACCACAGAAAATAAAATTTACCCCTTCATCACTGGGCATCACTTGAACAAAAGGAAGACAATTGCAAACTTTTTGTGCATTTTCCTTGGCATATGTTGAAAAGGAAAAGACTATTTCTGAATCCTGAGGATAGAGCCCCAAACCTTTATTGCATCTTTTAATTTTTGGTAACAGGGCCCTCTAAAATTGCTGTGTCTGTCTTCCTGCACAGAGAGACCCATCCACAATCTTTGTGGGTTGTTTCCCCCTACCCCCTATTTATTTCATAAGAAGTAGGAAAAATAAGAACCGTCTAATTTGGCCAAGATCTCCCCTTTTTACATTTAAATCAACATTTTGTTCTTCTTTAGCTATCAAAAGTCAACTGGATATAAATAAAACCCAAAGCATTAGACCCACAGATAAGATATCTTCAAATAAATGTGATTTCCACATGAGGTTATTTCACAATTAGCCTCTGAGCTAGATACTGATGACACTAAAATTACTCAGACTGAAAACTGTTTTAGTGTTGCCAAAAAAAAGTTTTATTTGTAACAACTGCTTTGATAGAGTTAAAAAGCCTTATCTATAACAAGCTACAATTTCCCAAGTCTGTATACAGAAATTTAACCTTTCTCCAAAAAGAAGATCTGTACCTCCAAATAGAGGACTCTGAAGGTACTGAAGCTGGGACTTCTCATGATTGGATGCATGGGATAAACTTGAACTTAAATAACAGAAATAATACACCTGTTTTAGCAGGTATGTTTAACCTACTCGAGACTGTCATCAAGCAAGTTTCAGTTTCATGCAGATTTTGTTATCCTTGTTTTTTTTCTGCATTTCTGCTTCCAGATACATTGATGTCAAATATCACAAGCTATTTACTGTTTTCAGTCACATGGTGAGAAAACTTACGCCTAACTCAGGTACAGAAGTGTTGTTTACTCATACAAACACTTTGTGTTATTTAATGGGTTCCAAGGAAACACCCGAAGATTTCCACTTTTCCAAAGGCTTAAGGAAAGGAACCTAAAGATGTTGCTTCTTACATTTTAAAGCAGGAACAACTACAACTAATGTATCTCTAGAAGTCTAATCCATTCTTAAGAGCAACTCCATCTTCAAGAAACGGATTTTGGGACTTCCTTATGTTTACTTTTGAAAAGCTTTTATAATATTTAACTTCTCTTGTTCTTTTTTTTTTTTTTTTTTTTTTTTTTAATTTTTTGTTCTTTTATTTTTCTCTCCATTTAGGTCCTATCACCAGTGGCTCTAGTAATTGGCTTCTTTTTCTGACTCACTCCAGACAGTCAGGATACTATGAAACACAAACCAAAGCACTCCACCACATGCCTTATTGCTATTGAACAATGTGAACTATGTAGACAACTTATTTTCTGTCTTTTAGATGCTATGCACCTGTGCACATCTTCCAGCACAGAGTGTGCTATTTTTACAACAGGGTGATATTCTCAGTTGGCACAACCAGCTTTCTAAATTTCCTCTTCCTGTACTTGACTATTCACAAATAAGTCTAGTACTTGAACTTCTTTGCATGAAATTACACGAAGTTTACTTTAAGTTTTAGCCCAAATTTTTCAGACCATCTTTCCTGGGGTCAACCGTACTCAGTACCATCTGAGACTTAAATTAAGGGTGTCCTCTCCTCTATTTACTGAAGACAAATAAACTAAAACCTTGCACAGGACAAATCCTGGGAAAAAATTCCTACTGTTTCCCTTCAGTTTGCACACAGACCATTGATAACTATTCTAAGTACAGTTTTCCAACCAGGAGGAAACTGTGCTATAAAACTACTCTCTCATATAAAATCCATGAAGCATATTATTTAACTAAAAAGCTCTGCCTTCAGACTGTAACCTTCTCTGGAAATGTCTGTTCACTATTTTGCAGAAAACTACAGAAATGCTTCTTTTAGAATATACTAGCAATGCATTATTTCAGAAGATGAATAATGCATTTTCCAAACATACCTGGATTGGGAACCTAGGAAATTAGAATAACACAGTATTGTCCAGTTGAAACCCCTTACTGAGTAAGATGTCTGAAACACCACAGAGGGTGTTATGTTTCAAAAATTTTTTCAAGGAAAGAAAGCCTTTTAAGTGGCATATATATAACAAATATTGCTGCTCTTGGAGGTTGAAATTTAACATACCTGGTCCTCCCTTATCAAGAACTGCCATATGAAAAAAATCCAAAACCAAACCACCACTCAAAGGATTGTCATTTTAATCAGTAAAACTTTGTGGGGGGTACTGGACACTCAATCCAAATAGTAAAACTTGATCCAGCAAAACTCAGAATTGTGAGTTGGAAAAAATAGCACAAGTTGTATTCCAAGGGCAGGGATTCATTGATGTGTTTTTCGGTCTTACAAAGATTGCTTAATGTTCACACTAATTGCAGAACTTTACGTATCTTAATTGAAAGTACTTATTATGCCCACCTAAGAGTATAAAACATGAAGAGGAAAATTTGTACATTAGTTTTAATAATCCATAGTCAGAAGTATGGGAGGCTTTTTCTTGCTTTTTGGTACATGAGTTTTTTTGGGATTTTTTTAAGGCTAGCAGCAAGCACAATCAGCCAGTTCAAGTATTTCCTTGTGTACTTTTGTGTTTCAAATTAAAAATGTCAGTGCAAGATATAGTTTTCTTAAGCTGAACAAAATCTGTGAGATGCTATCTTTTATGGCATATATTTACATATATATGTAAATATAAATGTATCAATACAAATCAGTGCAAGGTTTTTTCTTAAAAGCTGTTAACGCTATATTCACCCAACTTCAATATCTAGATATTTAACCCCTAAGATAACTTAAAACCAAAATTAAATAACAAAGACATTGCTCAGATTATTTAAAAAATGTGTTATCAATTTTTCCCCTTCTCTACCTCATCTGTAATGCAACACAATAAATTAAAATTAATTAGATCAACCCTTCATAGCATTTAAGAACTCTAAGTAAATTCCTCATTTAAGAACTAAACCATTCATTCAGAATCTAGGTCAAAACACAAAGATTAGCAAAATATTTCCTGTAAAAGGTTTCCAATACCATATCTTTGAGAAAACTGACTAACTTCTTTTTGAGCTTTACTGTAGATTATAGACAAGTGTTTTTTTGGTACTGTTCGGCCCCATCAGCCAAATGGGGTGATTAGCAGTAAAGGTCTGGACCATCTGAATCTTTTTGTACCAGACCCTTATTTCCCAGCTCTACATTTAAAGTTCATAGGCTGGTTTAAATTTCATAGGTTGATTCAAAGGCTATACCTGAACACTGCACAGAGAGAGGCGCCAGGCCATGTTTTGTCCTCAGGTGTTCAGTATAAAAGTTTCTCAGATGAATGTCATAAAGCAACATCGAAAAAGCCCACGTCAAAAACCTTAAGAAAATAAAGCCCAACATACCTTCACTGTATTACACATGAAAATTTCCCCCCATCACTTATCCCAGGAGAAATATATATTTTATTGGAACATAGAGCTCCTTTTCAGAACAGAGAAAATGTTCACGTCACACCAACCCTCCACCCCCTCGCCAAGAGTATCACAGTTACACTTTGTCGAGTAGTTTGTTTTGTCTTCCATCATGGTACTTGATCTCTAATAAAGTAACTATATTCTACTTTTTCCTGCAGGAAATACAGAATAATCTGCTAAATTTTTGATAGCTCATCATGCAAATTCATGAGATTCTTTTAATAACTATTTTTTTAATATGCCTATTTATTTAGTTATTTTCAAAGAGCTAACAACATTCCAATTTATCCACTTGTACAAAAGTCAGGGCTGGAATTGTCAGATTCAATGAACATCTGACAAAACTGACAAGTACAATAAAAAGCTCTTTAATTAATTGATAAAGGGAGTTTATTTTAATCAACTTGTTATGATAGTAACATCAATTGTAATGTATTTACTCATCTTGAACATTTTAAATTATATTTCTGAACACTTACAAACATAAGTATTGTTGACTTATTGGGTTGTTTTCCCCACAAAAAACAGTGAGTATATCCTGAAGAGTTTAGCATAAATCCAGAATGTCTTCTATTAAGTCAAGATTTTTTGGATAAGATGATTTATAGCACCTTTTTTTAACCTTTACCTGCATTCCTTTGACTTCTTCTATTATGCTGCAATTAGAAATAGGAAAAAAAAAATCAGAATAATCTTATAATAGTAGAATTCTTTTAATCATTGCCTTTGTTTACTTTGGTATATTCCACAACTAGACACTTCTTAAATAACCATTCAATTTCCCTCAGGTTTCCCATGGCCTTGCCAGAAAACCCACATATACAGAGTAAAGCTTGCCTGATCATTCACTTTTCTCCACATTCTTGCTGCTAAAATCAACAAGAACATAACCTTGGCCCACATAAGAGGCTAAGACAGAGAATTTCTCTTGCAGTCCTTAATGTATTTAGCTAGTCAAGTTGTGTAGCAATGCTTAGCAGTTTATGCATAAGGTATTGCCAGGGGTGGAAAGGAGGGGGAATCATAAATACAGCCCCTTTTTTTATCTCCATTAAATCCAGTCTTGTTCCCTAAGACTGAATTTCACTCCTTGTCCGCTTACCCTGTGGGGTTCAGAACAGCTTCAGTGTAAACTACCAAGGCACACTACAGAGGTAGAGCCTTTAGCCTGACACAGTGAGTGGTGAGGCTGCAAAGATACTTTAATTATTTTAGTGTTATTTTACAGGGAAAAAACCAAAAAAGAATGTAAAGTTGAAGAGCTGATTACCTGAACCAAGATAAATTGATTCAATGTATTAACGTCAATGACAAGCTTCTGATGAGATCCAAATGTACATGTTCCCAAAACGCAGCAATTAAAAAAAAAAAAAGTGTCCTGGTTTACTAGTTGTGCTAATTGCTGATAAATGGTCATCTATTTTAGTCTATCTCATCTGAAAATCTTAACCAAACTATCCTAAATCCCTGTTATAAAGCAGATGTTGACCTCATTAATTAACACCGCTTACAAATATTATATGGCATGGCAAGATTAGAATGTAATCCAAAAAATATATATAAAAATATATATCTTTATATATAAAGAAATAGTGCTACGTTTTGACTGCACAGTAGGTCTATATTATTAGATACCTCAAGTATTTCCCTTCTCCATTTTTTAATATTCTTGGTTGACACATTCCCCCATTTTTTTGGTCCTAGAAATAGCAAGAAATATCAATATTAGCACCATCCATACCAAATATCACTGTAACAGACATAAATATTTAAGAAGAACATATGACAGAGTAACAAAGCATTATCAAATCTGAACAGCCTCCAATTGCAGAAATAAAAACTTAAGAGGAAAACAAACCAAGAGAACATGGTAACTTCAAGCTAATTGTGAGGTCAGGCAAGGAAAAAAAATAATCACATGCTGAGTCTGAAAACACTGAGCTAAAATTCAAAGACCATTACAGACAAATACTTTTACTTTTTAGACTTCATTTAATGAATGCAGACTACATGGTATGTGAGCTTAGTTAAAGACATAATGAAGGTTTTACAAGACTGAGGTTCATATTAATTCCATATTGAATAGAGGTTACTAAACCAAAAGCATAACCAAGCTTTTACTAATCCAAAACTGTTTTTTACAGTACTCTATGAATGTTTCCTCCCTCTCCCAGTGCAAGCTTCCCAGTCTGTAAAAGCCTTTGGTGCACTGTTAGCACTTCCTGTTTATGCCCAGTGAGTCCTACCCTGCAAGAATTAATAAGGCAATTTACATATCATAACCCCCATGTCAGTGATAACAAAAACTGGCAGAACATTTAATTTCCCAGTAAAGCCATCAAGATCTTAAGTCACAAGTGCCACTAAAACCTTGAACAACATATTTTAGAAAACAGCTTTTCTCACAATAAGTTTTCCACAGGTGTTACCTCTCTCTAATTGATCAGCCATTAGTGAAACACTGGATAAATATGAGATGGCCCAACGTGGTATAGATTTATGCTGGCCACATGGGAGCACTCAATGAAAAGTTAAAGACACCAACTTCCTAGACCACTCTGACCTTTGGCAAAACAGAAATCTGTCAGAGCAATATTCAGAATATTAAGTGGAGATAAAACTATAGAATCCATTCATGCATATCAACTCCTGCTAATATTTCCATTCCTTCCGCTCAGTCTTCTCGATTTTGATTCTTCTTCTTACAAGGCACCCAAACATTAACTGTTTTTATCCTGAACTCTGCTAACAACTCTCTTCTAAAACGGAGCAAGCAATGGACTAAAATGGCACATAAAAGTAAACTCTTATACACATGTACCAAAGTTTACATAGGAAATGTCTTACCTAAGTGAACAAAACTCAGTATCTGTTGCACTTAAAGGTTCTTATAGCTGCCAACAGTTGCATGCTTTAGTAAGTCTAAATACACAGCATGTAAATATTGAAGCTTTTAGAAGTTCTTACCGTTAGGTGTATCATAAGTGAGAGTTTCCATGGAAACAAGGTAATCATCTTCAAAAGGATGATTATACTAAATAAAAAGGACCATTAAATGTTAGAATAAATGATTAAAGCAATGGTTTTAACGTGCATTATAACAGTTGTTTTTAGGACAATTTTGTTTTGTCCAAATTCGAAATTACTGGTGTGCTGGTTTATTGACCATAGCCGGATGTTGGCAATTTGGAACTATATAATTCCTAGGAGAAACAGGTACCTTTCAAGCGTGCATGCATAGCCAGGAATGACAAAAAAGGGCGTCAGAGATTTCTCAAAAGTGTTTAAGTTCCTCTCTTATAGTTTCCTCCAAACTTAGCGCGTAGTAGTTGAAACACAGCTCTTGACACAGAGCTACAGCTCACGACATGTAAAAATATCCAATCTGACACGCGACGAGGAAAACATCCTAGAGCCAGACCTGGCCACGTGCCATCCCAGAATGTTTCCCCGAACAGGGAAGCTCACACCCCTGGATAAACACAAGCGTCTCTGCGTGGAGGCGTGACATTCCCGCACCTTTAACACAGAATGGCCCTGAAGCAAGGAGGATTCCTGGAGGGAGTCTCCCAGTTCTCGTAGCTTCATTGAAAATACCTCACCTCGCGCCAGCGAAATGGGGCGAAGGGCACTGTCAGGTCAGCTCGCTCACTGAAGCCTGGCAGCCCCAGTTTTCACTTTTATGAATGCATTGCGGGAGCAGACTCTTGGCCAGCCCCCTCCTGCCACGGCACGGCGCACATTTCACCGCTGCTTTCGGCCCCCGCCGAGGCGGCAGGGTCGCCCCCGCCTCCCCGCCCGCCTCAGCGCGGCGCCCGGAGCCCCCGGCCTCCCGGGCCCAACGGCTCACCCGCTCCAGGATGCGACTCATGGAGGCCATGAAGCGGGCACTGCTCTGCCGCAGCTGCTCCTGCAGCTCCTCATCCACGTTCGGGTCCATGGCGGGGCCGCTCCCCTCAGGGCCGGGACGGAGCAGCTCGAGCCCCGCGGGCCGCCCGCGCCGCACCAATTCAAACCGCGCACCGCCTCCCCGCTCGCCGCCTCTCATTGGCTGCTGCTCGCAACCGTGGGCGGCCTTCCTCATTCTGATTGGCTGCCGGAGCTGCCGAGTGCCCGCCCACCACTCCCCCTGCTCCCGGCCGTGGGCGCAGGGCTCGCCGCGGGTTGGACGCCCAGGCGCTGTTCTACCTGGCAACGGCGGCTGGCGCCAGCTCCCATTGGCTGCGGGGGCAGCGACCCGCGGGTGCTGCCCTGGCGCGGGCGTTAAAAACATGGGATGGGCCACTTCACGTGGAACAGATGTCAGGGTGCTCCCTGCGGCCAGGGCGCCTTGGGGCCGCCGGCCGGGCAGCTCCAGGCAGAGCTGTACAGAGCGTTGTCTTCCTGTCGGATTCGGCAGAGACCGCCAGAGGACTCGGGGCTGGGGAATTTAATGTTAAATGGTTGCCATGAGTCAAGGCCGTCCCAGTCACTCTAATTGGTCCCGTAGCGTTCCAGGCTGGAGGCCACTGAGGAGGAGTCAAGCCTGACAGAAGGGCTTGGATGATACTCTCATGGGGCTAGATTCTGTGAGGGGTGCTGGAACCAGCACCAGCATTGATACTGTGGATATCATCCCGTTCCTCCCACATATTCTTCCTTTCTGTAAATAAAGATTTTAAAAACAACAAAATGTCACTAGAGCATCAAGTCCCCTGTAACCTCCCGTTTTGAAGACATTCGCCATTCTGCAAATATAGAGACAGAGATAAGTTTTTCATAATGCCTTCTGGTCTAAAGCTGCTTTGTATTAATCTACTTGCTGTTTATTCAGATGTAGTAAATGTTATTTTTTAAATGACAGAGCTAAAGAGAAATGCATCAGTTCATCCATTTTAAAGCATTCTTACGTGTTTTGTGAAGTTTTCACAGCTGACAAAGTTGTATACTGAGGCCTTACCTTATTTCTATTAGGTCTTGCCCTTTTTCTGGTTCTGCATTAAGGCCTTACCCATTTTCAATTTATGACTCTTCTGCCACCACTGCACAAACCCCTGTGTTCAGTGGTTACATCACGTGTGTGTGGGGTGAGCAAGCCAGACAGAACATTAGCAAAGTGTTGATTTCAGCTTGCAGGAAAAGAAGAGATGAGTGCGGTAATTCCAAGCAGACAAATTAGATCTCACTCGTGTATTTGTCACTCTTCTCCCATCATGATGAATGCAGGATAAATCATCTAAAAAAACTCCGAGAATCTCTCTGATGATCACCTAATTGCCTATTCTTTATTTTATTAATACCCACCTGGCAGTGGATTTGCAGAAGCTCTCAGCACTTTATATTCACTTTAATGGAAGATGTGCCTTGAATATATGGAAAATATATTATAAACTCATATAAACTTCCTAAGATTTGAAAATAATAAATAAAGTGTAACTACCCTGAATAAATCAGAATTTCTGTATCACAAGTTGACTTGACAAAATTGTGGGCACTTAGTAGTTTGAACTGATTCCCTATAACCTTCCTTTTCCATATGTAAAATATGCTACTAATTTTACTCCCCTGAATATGGGAAAAATAATTTCTGTGATACTTTCAACATAGTGAGATACTGGCATAGTTTGAAATAGTAGTAAGAATTTTATTAGTAGACAGGTAAGTCTATGTATATATATATTCAGGGCAAGCTTTACACAATGTGAAGAAAAAAGACCTGATGCCCCACACTTAAAGAAAGGTAAAAGAAAGCATTGGGTAACTAACTATTCAGTTCTTTCAATGAAGTGCTAATTGCATGGAAAAAACCACATCATTAAGTTGCTTGTGGGGAAAAAAAGCACATCATAATGTCTCTGGGTTTTTTCACCACAGGGTTCAGGGTCATCATGCTCTTCATTGTGGTGGTTTATGATCCCCTTGCAGTGCTTTGATAACTAAAGATTGAAATACAATGCACATATAGGATGTGATTAAACACTTTTCTCTGACATTTCCTGGCTTAGGACTCATTCTACAACCTTAATGTCTTTGAATTCCTTACTATATACTTTTTTACTAGAAATAATAGAGGTATCCACCCATGCATTTTATATTTGAGGTAATCACCAACCTGTTATGTCACTTTTATTGGTAGAAGATCAGTCTTTCAGCAAATCTATCCAGGAGATACTTTTGGCTGTTTTGAATTCATGCTACACCTCAATAGAGTGACAGGAGCGCTCAATTGCAAAAAATTTCTTCTACCACTCCTTTGATAAAATGAGAGTGACATTCAGCAGTTGTGCATTAGGACTATCCCAAACCAGCAGTAACTGGTAGATTTGATAACATGTAACCAAAAAATCTCAAACTCTATGACCTTAGGAGCCACAAAGTCAACAAAGATTAGCTAGTGCTTGGGTGCATTTCTGTAGACTGCAAAGCAAGGTAGTGCATCAAACTTTAGACAAGCAGAAGAAAGAAAACAAGGAAGAGCTATACTGTTAAAACCTTGAGGTAAGGTCCCTACACATCCCTATAGGAAGCAGCAGCTGTTAATTTGTCTTGTGTGACCAGAATGGCCTATCTTTTCTTAACATTCCTCTGCAGTCCTTTTTGTGTCTGCTGCATGTCATCCCTTGCTTAATTGTTGAGATTGAAAATTAACAGGGACTTACCATTTGTCTTGTGTTGATGCAGCACCTGAAGCAAATTCCTTGTCTCAGATTCTGCTCCAATAAGGATACTTACCATTAAACTATTTCTGAAGTCATGAATAAGCTGAGTACTGGGAGTAGTAGTTTGCAGTCCTCATTTGAGTGGAAATGACTGTGTTGTAAAGGTGTAATTGTGCTATGTGCCATTGTCAGAGACCAGATTCATATCTCACAGGATTATTTGATTGATGGGTTGAATAAACCATGCTGTCTGTGTGTGTGGTTGTGGGGGTAGAAGGGCTAGGCTTAGGCCTGGGGCCAACATGGTGCAACCATGCAGAGCACATGGCAGGCAAAGCCATCTGGCTGAGCTGCCAATAAGGCTGCCTGGTGACCCACCCACACCACACCCCCTGGAGCCTCTAATTGGCCGTGGCACCCCTCACTTTGGCTGGGGGGACAGCTGAGTGGCAGTGAGCCAAAGCTCCTGTCTGGAGGGAGTGGCCACAATAGCCAGAGTCTATGAAGATGTCCATCCCTCTTGGCCTCTACCCTCCTGACCTGTCGAGATGTGACCTTTGTAATAGTAATTATGTTTCTCTCCTCTCTTTCTCGCTCTTTATTCTTCCTTCTCTTAATCTCTCTTCCTTTACTCCTGTGGGCAACTTGTCTGTGTTTCGCTTAAGTTACTGGGTATTTCACTTAAGTTTGTGTTTGCTGGCTATGACAAAGTTTCCCTTACTATAGGAATGCTTGCTAGTTTCAGTAACCTGTTGTAATGCTTTTGTGAAGTTGCATGTTATTTCTGTCAAAGCCTTTTTGCCCAAACCCCTGTTTTCTCACCAAATTAAAAGAAATCTCTTAGAGAAAAGTGTGTAGATTTTCTCTGGACGTGAACTCAAGATACCAAAGAATCAAAAGCCTGAAATAAACGTCTAACACCTGGTAAAGCATGGAGCTTCTAAACTGGATTGTAAGAGCCATGAGGAAGCAGGAGTCTTGGATAGTACCAGTGGAGAGATGAAAATGTCCAGGTCCCACAGTCAGACTTCTGAGTCTTTGCCCTTAGATAGATTCTTACTCTTGTTCTGCCACTGGGCAAGGGCACATTGCTGTCAGCAGAAAATTTCCTGTGGTATGAACACTGTCACCCTCTTCTTAATCTTATGACTAAGTAAACAATGAACACTGTGCCATTTATAAGAGAATATGGTGCCATTTATAAGAGAATATGGTGCAGAAACACATACATTTCAAGAAGAAAACTTCTTTGGTGCCTATGTAGTACTAGAAGCTTGTCCTCCGTTCTGTCCATCTTCACCACTTTTGTTGAGTAGGTGGAGAAATCTCTGACAGTAGATTTAACCTCAACTATTCTTTGATTACCATGACTTGTAGAAGATAATTTGTGGGACTGAGTTGTGTGTGCCATTGTTTACTCTGTGGTTTACTGCCATATGTAATTGTTTTATTCATGGTGTTTATTCATATTTGGAGAGGGCTATGTCCTCTCCAGCTCATTACTTAATCCAACCTCAAGCTGTATTTTATCCTTTTAATCTTTTTATCACTTTTTTTTATAAATCAGAACATCTGAATCATCTTTACTATTCTGCTCTGAACTCTCTCCAGTCAGTCAATATCTTTGACTATGTAGGCATCTGGAATAATAAATAATTTTCTGAAAGCAACCTCTGAAGAACCATATAAAAAGCAATTTACACATCTATTCTCTGTAAATGTTGATCTTCAGATACAGCCAAAACATCACATTGACTATTGAAATGACAAACTCATCTCTCTTCAGTATATTTCTTCTGGATTGCATGCTGCTCTCACCCTTTGTACAACAGAGTATGAAAGCATAAAATAACTGCTGTTTTCCAGAAAGCCCTGCACAGCTCAGCTTGTGTCAAATCAGTGAATACAATTAGACATTCAGAGACTGTACAACAACACTGTAGTAGCTGCAGGCATACAGAAGAGCTGTGTAAAAGGGAAGTGTGAGCATCCCAGGAAAACACCACAGCAAATGAGTCAGCACAGGCCAGGTGCTGCAGCAGTCACTGTGTACCATCACCTCTGCGAGGAGCCTTGCCTTCCCTGCTCTCCAAGAGGTAGGAGAGGAAGCAGTATTTTACTCCTCCTTAGTCACAACCCCATCCAAAGTCATAAATTAGTTTCCTCATATAAGGCAGTCCCTGCATGAGTGTCTGTTAAACAGACAGATGTTTCCAAACCTTATCATAATTAAACACACCCAACCACCCCATAACTCTGCTTATATAAAGCATAGAAGAAAAGAAAACAAAAAACCAGCCAT